TGCTTCCTTCAAGTTTCCCATTTCAGGTTACTGCTTACCCATCCTCTTCTAGTCATTTCCCTTTGCCACAGAACTGTTTACAGAAAAGGCAGCCTTAGTTTAAGTTAAAGTTTTTAAGTTCAGCTATGCGAAGAGCCTTTTTTAAAAAAAGAAAGATTATTTTCCCATCTCTTAAAAAAGTAGGGCAAAAATGAAGGAGATAGTCCAGTGACTGCCGTTAGTCACATACTTTGTTATGCTATGAAATGCTACAAATTTTAACTTTTTAATCCACTTGGGAAGTAGATTTGGTAATAAATCATTTAAGATCAAGGCAACAACTCATTCTACATAACACATCATTTGCCATTAGCCTTCCCTTTGTTTTTTTTTTTGGAGAAGACAGATACAAACGGAAATTACATTTCTGATTTAGTCAAAGCCAGTGTCCCAGTAGAGAGTAAACAGAGCCTCCACTTCAGTTACTGAAGACTGACAGACAAACTACTCTATTTGCCTCAAAATGCCAGTGAGTGCTGGGAGTATAATTTCAGCCTGAGACTGGGGGGAGGGGGGTGGCAGAAGAGAGGAAAACAGAGCAAAGTCTCACCTGCGGTGTGCCCATCTCACTTCTGTGGTGAAGCTTCTGCCGCTGGGCCTCCAGATATTCCTGAAATGGCTTCTGCAGAGATGGACCTATGCCGGGGACAGCACTGGAAGCAGGGTACAATAACCCAAGGAAAAAGATACATTTGGGAAGAAAAGCAAGAAAAATGTGAAAGAAAAATCCACTTACCACCTGGACTCAAAAAGCAGGGATTGGACAGAAAGAGGAAAAAAAATACAACAATCAGCACAACTGGCAAAATCCTCTGAACTCTTTTCAGTGGATACATTCATCCTTTAATAACCCCTTCTAGGAGAAAAATCTCTTCCACCAACTCAGGAGAGAAACTAGGAGCTGAGCCCCTTCTGGCACAAGAGTTCATCCTCAGAGTGAGACCAGCTAGGCTGATGCCGCACGCTGTTGTGGCACAAAGAATAAAATGAATGACTTCTGAGAAGTCCCACATTTATCACCACCAGTTCCTGTAAGAACTGGTTTGAACCGATTAATAAGGAAATGACTTATGCTTGTGTCATCCCTAGTTGAAAAAGAAACTGCCCGCCCTCTCTCTGACTTGTCCCATCTTCTCAGAGGGGGGCGGTCCTTTCTCAATCTAAGTCCTTATTAGGACAATCTGTGCGTCATCCTTATCCAAAAAGAATGCATTAGCAAATTTGGGAGGCACCTCCCACTAGTCAGAAGTCAGTGATTAACAAAGGAACAAAGAAGGAACTCTGAACCTTGAATCACTTCGTGGTTTATGGTAGATGGTTTGCACAGAAACTACAGTACATTACTAAACAACTTGTTCTGAAATGACTGGGATAGGGATCTCTGATAAGTTTATGTACTCGGAGGTCCCTCTCACCCAGAATATGTGGAGGCAGTGCTGTTAAACCGGTTTGGCAACCAGCTACCAGGATCCTGTTTTAGAAATGCTTGCAGGCGTTTTTTAAAATGGTAACTTGAGGCAACTTAGAAAATCAAACATCTCTATTTTCTGTACCTTTTATTTTCTCATCTGCCATAACAGGGCTAAAAGGTAGATGAGCTCAGTCTCCTGCGGCCAGCAAAAGCTATGTCAATATGTATTTGCAACAGCACCTAATGTTCCCTCTTATAAGTACTGACTTCACCACCTCTTTTCGAGAACAATTCAGTTACTGCTTTCTGTAATACAAAGCAGAGAAGCAGAGGAAGAGAAATTTTTTGCTACTATATTTACCAGAAGTTAACACATATATAACTTCTGGCTGACACTTCTCTTTGATCCTCTTAAGTATCAACCACCAAGTACTTAATGGAGTCCTTATTTTGTGCCTGACATTGTAATTGGCACTAAGGGAAAACAAAACAACTGCAAGAAATAGCTTGTGCCCACAAGGAACTTAGAATCATTATGGAGATTCAAAACACACGGGCACACACACGTACACACAAACTGATTTGTGAACAACAAAATTTACAAATTAATACTAAAATTTTTTGATATAGAAGATATATTCCAAAGGAACTGGAGAAAGGAGAGATCAGTGTGGGGTGAAGCTGTCAAAAAGATCCTTTAATAAATATTGAAAGACACGGGGAAGGGCTGAATAGACATAGATAGCAGAGACCATGGCTGTACTGATCAGCACATAAGACCCATACGGACAGACAGGAAAAATGGAGAAGGAAGGGCAAAGTCTCTTTCTTAACCTATAGCCTCAGTCTCTCTCTCACTGACTTTTAAGTAGCTTTACATTAAGGGGTAAACCAGAGAAGCTGGGTCTGAGCTGTGTTGCTATTTATCAGTGATGATTCTCACTACAACACGGCAACAAGAGGACAAACTTTCTCTTTATTTTTTATTTTTCTTAAGTTTTATTTAAGTTATCTCTACATGGGGCTCAAACTCATGACCCTGAAATCAAAAGTCACATGCTCCTCTGACTGAACCAGCCAGACAGAACTTAAATTCAGAAAATCAATTCTTATTCACTCTTAATAACAAATGCTAGGAGCCTGGGTGGCTCTGGGGGTTTGAGCGTCTGACTCTTGACTTCGGCTCAGATCATGGTCCCATGGTTTGTGAGCTGGCAGCTCTGGGATTCTCCGTCTCCCTATCCTTCTACACCTCCCCTGTACTCTCTCTCTCTCAAAAATAAATAAATAAAAATTTAAAAAAAAATACCCTATATCGTTGTTTTTAAACTTCCAAGGATAAGCCATAGTCAAGCCATTGTGTTTTTTTTTAAGGTTAAAACACTCCTTTTATTTACAATGGCTGATATAATTGTAAACTAATGTGAACAGCTAGATTATACAAGAAATGCCTTGAAAATTCTCTTTTTGATGTCCTCTAAGAGTTGGATTCCATTATATGTGCCTTGTTCTTTCTTCAGACTTCTAACTTCAGACTAGAGTTTAGCAGAAATAAGGCTTACAGTTACCCTCAAATAATTCTTGGGCTCCATTCTTGGGCCATTATTGAAAGAGAAAATGAAGAACTAAGACCCACATGTTAGAAAGGTTCTACTTTTTTGTTGCTGTGGTTGAGGGGAATGAGGAAGGGACTGGCAACAGTCATTCTAGACTCTCTTCAAAATAATGTGAAGTTAAAAAATGTTGCCATTGTTAAGTCTATTAAGAGCTACACTCTAGTTGAGAGAGAATATATGTCATTACATTTAGTTTAGTTTATTGCACATTTACATTTAGTGATGTGCAATTTTCAACTATCTTGGGCTAATGCTGAGATAATTTTTTAAGGTGCTATATAGTGTTACATGCTTTGAAGAATTTTTGGTGGGGTGGGAGACGAATCTATTAGTTTCTCATAAGAGACTAGGGAAACAGTTGAAATAGAGAAGTTAAAAGTTTTTATTGCAGGGGTGCCTGGGTGGCTCAGCTAGTTAAGCTTCTGACTTTGGCTCAGGTCATGATCTTGTGGTTTGTGAGTTCAAGCCCCAAGTTAGGCTCTGTGCTGACAGCTCAGAGCCTGGAGCTTGCTTTGGATTCTGTGTCTCCCTCTCTCTGCCCACCCCCATTTGTGCTCTGTCTCTCAAAAGTGAATAACTGTTAAAAAAATTTTTTTTAAAGTTTTCATTGCAATATATTAACCAATACTATCATGAACAAATGTCACATGCTCTCAATAAATCCGAAAAAAAAAAGAACACATAAGTATTAACTATTATATAACTAATTGTCGGATTCTCTTAACCTTGATATACTCATCAAAATTTTAGTTTTATTTTTATTGTTCTAGCTCTACAAACAATGGCTTAGGCCACAGTTGCCTCAGCTTATACAAAGCACATTACACTAGAGTTCCCTTAATTAACATCAAAGCTATTTTAGTAATGGACTACATAAAAATTGAAAGTGCAGTTGTCACTCTTTTTAAATATATATATTTCATTAATATTTCTGTACAGCTGTCAATCCTAACTTGCATTTAAAGCAAACTATAATACCAGCCCATGACCTCATCCCTCAAGTTATTTTCAAGCAGCAGACAGAAGAGTCCATTCTGACATTTAAGATTAATTTAAGGTACATATATGGGGGATGGGGGGTGAAGAATAACATGAATTCCAGTTCAGTGGTTTTTTACAGTTGGCTTAGGAAATAGCTTAAATGCCATTCTCTGAAAGCCATTAAATTCAAAGTACCCTGTGCACCTGGCCAAGGAGTCATCTCAACCTGTAGTGAATGCGTGAAGTCCTCCATCTGCCATTAGGTCTGATGAAGTTCAAAGTATTATAGTTTCGTGATATAAAAGGATATAAAGTAGGAGGAGAACAAACACAAAATGATTTTTCAGTCAACTATTGGATTTAAATATGTTTAAACTACCCTTGTAAACACTTTCTCTAAGTAAGAAAGCCTTAAAAAAAACCCTAAAAAACAAAAACAGAAAAAACAACAAAGATCTCATCTGCTTTTCCTTGCTGTAGACCTTCAACATGGTGGGTAGAAAAAGCTTTGTGGATAGTAATTATCTTGATATTTATTTTCTTGGCATACACAAACATGTTTCAGATAATATCTCATTAAAAAACAAATTTCCAAAAAAGTAATGGCAATTTTTGAATTTCTGTTATTGATTTTAATAAAGAAAAAAAAACTGTCAGATAATGCAAAATGAGAAAAACAAAGAGAAAACAAAGGAGAAAAAATAAAGAAAAAAAAAAAACAACCCTACGTAAGTCCAAACCCACCCAAAGCTTGAAAAGTGGTTTCACAGGAACAGTATTTTACCAGGCTTACATACCTTAGGAGGTATGTAACAAGACAAACTTCTTTGTAAAATTCTGTTAAGGGCCCTGAGCAATATGCAAACAACTATCTTTCTGCAGTTTTTAATACATTATGTGACTCTGCTTCTGAAAATCATTTTTCTGAAAATAAATCTATATTTTAAACTCTCTCCATATTGACTTATTATAAATAAAGGTCTGCATTATTCTCTGTACCCACAAAAAGCCAGAAAATCTTCCAGAGGAAGCATCACAATTGGTAGAGGCTGGAGAGAGAGTGGGTGGTATGATTATTTGTCACAGTGTTTAAATTTTCATTTTGTTGGTTATTCCTGGGCACACAACCCATCCCAAAACTTTATCGGTCATTATTATTCCTGTTTCCAAGGAATTCCTTTTAAATTGTGTAACTCTCAAACAAAATGGTTCAACAGATATAAAAAACACATCATTAAAACTTTCAATCTCTTCTCCATCATAGAGATGGTCATCAAACTAACAATTGTTATTAGAAGACCTGAAATTTTCCTGTTCACGATTCTGGTTGGATTTTTCCAGCCAGGAGTATGTTTTTGTTACTATGTGCCACCATAAAACTGGGGCACAGTGTTTAATAACAGAAATAACATGAACTTAAAAAACATTGATTTGTCTTGCTGTTTAGACCTACTTACACAGGGCTGCCTCATATAAAGGTTAAGCAGTTAAAATGCCTAGGCAAATTAAGTAGGTATGATTAAGTAAATGTTTTATTTAATATAGGCTCTGCTCCTTTCTTAATCACTTTTTTGAGGATCTTAGCACTGATGTGATCATGGAAGTTACACTGGCTTTCCTGAAAATATATTGTCTGACATCAGTT